GAAATCAGTATTGTATGATTTCTCGAACAGAAAGTGAAGAGAGAAGATGGTGTCAAATAAACTAAAAAGCAAATAGTGATTAGAAAAAAGGATTAATATTAAAAAGCAAATAGGAAGGTACAGTTTTCCCTTATTTAGCTTTGTGTTTTATAGATTAAACACAATCAATATTTTTTTAGAAAATCTTCAAACAATAATGTGAAAGTAGCCAAATAAACTTACGAACTAAGTGGGGTTTGGCTTTGTAAACCCCTTCTCTTGCAGCAACATGAGAAATCATGATAAGCACAGCAACAAATAGCAATTTCCAAATAAATGAACAAATTTTGGTACCCATTTTTTGTTTGCAAAAGAAGCAAGCTTCTTTAGGTCGTGAAATTATATGTGCAACATCTGAGAATATTTATAGAGAGATTTTTCAATGGAAAATTGATTGGTTGCTTGTTTAAATTGAAAACCCTTCTACAGAAGTCCACACGCATCATGACTCTAAACTTTGGACTTTATTTTTTCGAAAAGGAAAAATTATATCTTTATATTCTCACAGCAGAAGTTATGATATGGTCAATGCTTACATTCAGGGACATATAAAGTTGTTGGTAATAATATATTCAGCGACAACAAGATAGTCCAGTCGCTCATAATATTATTAGCGACATGTCATTCTCGTCATTAATAATATATTCAGCGACGAGAATGTATAGTCGCTGATAATATTATCAGTGATGCTTTTCGTCGTCGCTAATAAGGGATTCAGCGATGCTTGCGTGTAATTGCTGATAGTAATCATTAGCGACGGCATGTGTTGTCGTAGAAAGCAAAGACGATGCGGTTTTAGCGACTCCGTAAATGACGAATGCGTATGCATTGCTGATAGTTTTAGCGACCCGTAACGAGTTTTAACGACATTTTTTTGGCAAAAACCAATTTTATTGTGGTGGTGTCTGAATGTTTGTGTTTCCTAGGACGTCAGGAATGATGTTAGCTAGTTTTAATTGTTAAAGATCACGGATCGATAAGATAATAGTCTTAACAAGAATTTATAATTTAAGTGAGCCACTCCTAGGATAACGGTACCCCAACTATCTCCACCATGGTATGATATTGTCCGTTTTGGACATAATACTCGCGGCTTTGTTTTTAGTTTCACCCAAAACGTCTGTGCCTGTTTGAATAGTCTCAGTTAATCATGTGTTTCTTTGATAAGAATCAATACGATCTTTATAAGGTTTCTCCTCCGAATGAAATTCAATGGGATCCAAAGAGACCATGTCTTCATCCATCGGGTCCCAAGTACCTGGATCAATCGAACTTTCGATTCTATCTAAACTATTCATTTTCAAATGGTATATACATTATTCACAAATATTCATTTTTGATTTTAAAACTTTCTTATAATTTAATTCTGCATCGTACCAGGGTAGATAATTATCATTTTTTTTCTTTTTTTATCCTTGTATACCATGGATCACCTATTCTCTAGCTAGTTAATGTGGGACTTTGTTTGTATACCTTGCAACCCCAACACTCCTCTCATTGTCAATCGATTTTGAGATAAAACTCCATAAATATTAATAGGATATTAGACCCTCAAAATATCAAACAAGTATTCGGTCCACAAAATAGTATCTGTTTGAAAATACGAAAGGGTTCCCAAAATCCTTTTAACTTGTCATCAAAGTTATTGCAAAGACTAAGACTTTTTGGCTATTGTATGATGACATCACTTGTGTATTTTTTAATTTAGTGATGGAGTTTATTAATAGATTGTAGGGCCATATATTGTATATATATCCCCCACATTTTTAGTTAGTTTTTTTTTTTTTTGGAAAATTCCAAATTAATAAAAGTGTACTTTTTTTCTCCAAAATCGATGACATGTGGCAAACTCGAACCTGAGACCTCAAAATAAGTGGTACCATAAAGTCCATACATTTGTCACTGTATACCATTCTAGGGGATGAACAAAAAGAAAATTGATAGGGACAAAATTTTACATTATAACTTTTTACATTTAATATTTCAGTTTTGAAAATTTAGAGGGGGTGGATTTTATAGAATTACTTAAATTTTTAATCGAAGCTAGACCAGCTAAGAGGAGAGTGTAATTGTCCAGCGAATCATGAAATTAAATTAATACCCTCACAAAAAAATTTTGAAGACTTTTCCCTTTAAAAATATAAAATGATATGCTTGGAAAACAAGCAATTCACACCAACTTCATCAAATATCTATGGATAAGGCTGTTGAAATGGTATTGAAAATGTATATATAACAATAACATTGATGTTGAAATAGTATTTACCATGATTTTGACAATAGCAATCATGCCAAAATCTCTTTCGCTTAAATCACCAATTCTAAAATCATTTACAGAGAAGTCCGTAGAAAGAAGAATCTCTCTGCTATAGGTAAAATCCACAAATTTAATCCAAAATCAAATTTTATGTGCTTCGAAATTTTCCCCATTCCCCTGTACAAATCACTACAGATTCAAAACTTAAAAGGGAGTTGAAAGAAATTAGCTAGGGTACTAAAATTGACAACATATTCCAAATAAAAACTTCAATATTAATAAATCCATGAGAAGATACAACCAAGCATTAGACTTAGTGGAAAATGTATATGAAAATTGAAAACAACGCTAATCAGTAATCATCACAATTCACAAGTACCGATCTTGCAAGAAGAGCTTTATTAATTAATTATTCTTCTTCTTTCTCTGAAAACAATCGCTTAATATATTACAAGACCCATAATAATTCTTGAGATAATGATGTCTCACGAGATGAGTGGCTTCCTCGTAATCGAGACCATATGTTTGAGTCAAACCTTTAACTATTATCTGTACCGACCGTAGATATATCTTTCCCTTTTCTTAAGATTTAGAGGAAAGATTAGAGAGAAAAAGTTAAAATTTTTAACTTTTCCTTCTCATATAATTTTGGCTCTAAAATGAATCAAGATGGGACAATTGTCTACTTATTCCTTCTTCGCTCTACCCTTGTTCTCCGGAATGCTATTTCTTTTTGTAGTTCTCGCCATGGGGAGGAGCTGCAGGTGAACGCTCTGCGGTTGCAACAGGAGGACGTCGGAGCTAGACTCCGGTGGTCCTAAGTCATCTTGTTCCTCTTAGATTTAAGTAAAAATTAACAAGCTAAGAGGGTTGTGTGTTCAGCAGGAATTTAGTAGAGAAAAAACAGAGAATAATTAATGAAGGAAATAAATTAATTTACTTACAAACTGTGTGAGAGACAGCAACCAACTTCCTTGAAGAAACATTAGAAGCCAAAATTAGGGAAATAAGTACCGCTGCCACCAAGACTTGTGACACCCTGATCGAACCTATGATTTTGCTGGAAACTATATATATGCTACTGAATAATTAATCGGATGGATTTGGATGCAGATTTCTGGTTTCTGATTTTTCAAGAGTTTTAGTTATTGCCAAAGCGCAGTGTAGCTAATGATAAGTGGTAAACGGTAATAATCGAGATTCTAAGTTCGAATCCCTACCTCTCCACCTTCTTATTTTGTACTAAAAAATGAAGATTTTTAGTTGTTATTTCATATTTATATAGCAAAAAGGGGTTTGTACATTTATTCTCTAATTTTATTGATGGAAAAGTAAAGAGTGTTTTAAAAATTTTGATCTGTCATGAAAGTGATTGGAGAGACTTTTTGCTTTGTATTGATAAAACCTCTTGTCTTTTATTGGTGAAGTTTGAAAAATTCTACGCATTAAAATTGTGATAAAGGCACTTATTATTATTATTGCCAGAAATAAAAGCACACCTAGATCTATGTACTTTAATTTTTACCACCAAAAATAGAAAGAAAACTCTGTAATTTGTATATTTGATTCATTTAGAGCAAATAAGAAGTATTGATGTCGTCAAAATGAGCATAGTTTAGTGATAAATTGATATATATTTCCAACTAAAATGGTGTAAGTTCGATCTCCCACTCACATGTGTTATACCAAAAAAGAAAAAAGAGAAAGAAGTATTGATCTCTGATTTCTACCGTAGATGTAGACTACAGTCGAACAACTACAAAATCTTAGTATTCATGTTTCTTCTCCTTGATTTACTATCTTGATTAGTTTCATTTGATTTTGAAACGATAGATTGATATCATAGCCATAAGAGAGAAGAATTCTAGTTTGAGCTTGAATGTTTGTTTTTCGATTTTAAAATGGTACATGATATCGTCCGTTTTGGGTATAACCGTCATGGTTTTATTTTTGGTTTCACCAAAAAAGTATCATACCAATAAAGATAATTGTGGACTTTATTTGCACATCTTGCAACCCCAATATATAGTTGATTTCCTCCATTTGTCAGTCGGAATGAAAGACCTTAGTCACATCATCTAAAGGGAAATTTCATAGCAGCAAGTTGGTCAGATAAGCTCTTAAATTTCTTGTTGTATTCATCTATAAGCAATGAAAAGATCAATAGCTCATTTATATGTATATATTTTTTTTAAAAAAATAAAAAAGATCACCATTCAGTCACAAGATATGTGAGAAACATACCACAAAAGGAGGCTAAATAAAAGCACTCCAATTTAAAGAGAGGGTGAGAATGTTATAATTACAAAAGAACTTTGATTTAGATGATCAAGAGGAAGCAGCGTTTCTTATATCATTCAATAGAAGAGTTGCAGATCTATATTTACTTGAAAAGAGACGGTTGTTTCTCTCGAACCAAATAAACCAAATGATAGAACAAAGACCATTGCACTAAAACACATTTCTACTATTTGAGAGAGGGGTATTTATGCATTCCGTATGAAGGCATCAACATATGAGAATTAACGTGATCCTTCCCATAACAATATGGGAGAGATACCTTAAAGTGTTGGAATTAAAAACTGAGGACAGTTAAGTCTTGCTTGCGAAGAATAAGGCACAACAACAACCGTTTCAATAAATTCTAGAAGCAATCAGAGAAGAGTTTTAATAAGCATTCACCAAAGAAAAAAGATGAAATCACTTGCAACCAAATACATAGATTTTTCAGGTTTTATTAATCCTTTGATTGAACAAAGTAGCGTAAAGAAGCTAATAATTGATCATTTGGAGTTGTAACTTCACCTCAAACTTTTTGAAACCAAATACATAGATTCTAATTATTTAAAATGTGATAATAACATAATATTAAATACAAAACTTTATCGAGATATAAAACTAACGTCCAACTGATGATCCTAAATAAAGATTTAACTGCTCTTTGGAGTCATTATTAATAGTTCCCACAGCAAGGAATACCTCCCCTGTAGCGTTCCTTTGGTAGCCTAGAAGATTTCAGGACATCTTGTTTACCTGAAAACCCGAAAAAGAAAATGCGAAGAGAGAACGGGGTGTCAACTGGACTTTTGCCCGAGTTCAATTTAATTAAAACTCGTATTGTAAGATAAAATGATTTCACCGAAACGAGTATAATTAAGTGGTAATTGGCGTATATTCCTAAACGATTGTGAGTTCGATCTTCTACCCCTACATGTTATACTAAAAAAAACTCAAAACTCTCATTGTTTCATCAACTTATAAATCGTCAGGAATTTGAATGGGAGGGAGAGTCACATGGTGAGAGATTTTATTTTATTTTTGTAGTAAAACATGTTGGAGAGGGAATTCGAACTCACAATCTCTTAGATTGAATTCAAAACCACTGATCTATGCTCACTTTAATGCATGGTGAGTGATACTTTAATGCATGGTGAGTGATAACGGGTGGAATTTGAAGGAAATTGAAGAGAGAGCAACAGAGCCCTCTCCAAGAGCAAAATAGTGATCAAGGTAGCAGCAAAAATGATTAAAATTTTTTCCTCGGTGCTTTTCTATATAGCATAGATTAAACACAATAAATACTTTTTTAGTAAATCTTCAAACAATAATGTGAAAGTAGCCAAATAAACTTACGAACTAAGTGGGGTTTGGATTTGTAGACCCCTTCTCTTGCAGCAACATGAGAAATCATGAGAAGCACAGCAACAAATAGCAATTTCCAAATAAACGAACAAATTTTGGTACCCATTTTTGTTTGCAAAAGAAGCAAGCTTCTTTAAGCCGTGAAATTATATTTGCAACATCTGAGAATATTTATAGAGAGATTTTTCAATCGAAAATTTATTGGTTGGTTGTATAAATTGAAACCCTGCTACAGAAGTCCACACGCATCATGACTTTAAACTTTGGACTTTTATTCTTCTGAAACGAAAAATTAATCTCTTATATTCTTACAGTAGAAGTTATGACATGGTCAATGCTTATGTTCATGTGTCAATGTTTTTATTTCCTAGGACGTCGGGAATGACGTTAGCTAGTTTTAATGGTTAAAGGTCACGCATCGAAAAGATAAAAGTCTTAACAATTATTTATAATTTAAATCAGCTACTTATCTCATTGTCAATTGATTTTGAGATGAAACTCTATAAATATTGATAGTATATTAGACTTCAAAAACTCAAACGAGCATCTAGTTCAAAAATAAAATTCAAATGCTTCAACTCAAATAACTCATAGTCAGAACTCAATTTAAAAAGTATGTTCGATACAAGCCTAATCTTTCTGCTCAAGCTTTAAGTGCCAAATTTAACAAATGATGTGGCATATGTCAAATGGCAAGAGGGGGTGTTCAAAAGCTACACTTATGCCTAGAAATATTTCAGCATTTTGAGAAAGGGATCGACGTACGAACAAGAAACATGCCATAAATCCAAAGTGAGGTACTTCGCAAGACTGGAGTTGGTACAATCATAAATAACGAAATCTATATGCATGCAATAAGTTGATCATATGTGTAGTGTTTGGTTGGAAAGAAACAAGCGATATTTTTTGAACAAATCTCGCTCTTCTGCTCAACTTTGGGAGGATATTAAAATCTTGGCATCAACTTGGTCTTCAAAATCCCATCTTTTTTTAATTATAATTTATCTACCATTTCGTTAAATTAGAGCGCTTTTATATACCCTCCGACTTCTTTGGTATGTTCATCACATACCTTCTCAATGAAATGGGTTTCTCACTCCTCAAAAAAAGTTGATCATATGTAAAGTTTAATCATAATTGTTGTTATAAACATTGAGCTGAATTCGTTGTTGGAAGAGTTTTAGTGGAAAAAAGAAAAAAAAAATTAAGATTTGAACCGGTGAGCTTTAATTTGCACCACTTATGTTCTCATTTTCTCCCAATATCTAATATAGATTTCCACTTGTTGGATTGGTGATTTAAAAAAAGTAGCCAACAATCCTAATTGGTTCTAACACTTTTTAATGTAATAGCTTTCCACCTAGTTCCATATAAATTTTTTATACTTTTTAAAACTTTTTCCAACAATCTTAATTAATTGGTGTATTTATTTATTTTTTTGTTACTTTCTAGTGATGTTTTAGTCCCATTTTAATATGAAAAACCTGTATATGTGAATCGTTGTGTGAGGAATGAGCCATAGATATTAAGTTTTAATAATTCGTGTTTAGTTCATAAGTCTTTTTTTATTACATTAGTGGGTGAGATTTGTAAATTTATTGTTTGGGATAAACAAACAAAATATAATTAACTTTATTTAACAACCTCTTCAGTACAACTTAAATATACCAATACTAGTATACAACCTTTAAAGTAGAATGATCTAAAATCAATCTTAATATGAAACTTTGAAATGGAATAGACAATATGGTAGTACTTGCCTTTGCAATTGAAGGGTGTTCCTTTTCGTTTTCTTTTACTTTGTTGCTACGGATAACCATTGATTAAGTTGGGAATAATCAGGATTCAATAATTACTAATTTACCTTGTGCTTTTTTAATATTGCAAATGAATTACTTATAATCTAATTAATTTGTCTGCAATAATTTTCTTTATTGCCACTATTATTTTGAAATATATATATAACTAAATAAATGACTAGTATTATTGGAAGTGACAAAAATTAGTTCACCAAACTGAAAAAAAGGAAAAAAAAAAAGGACCAAATATTCATTCTAAAAGTATTTTAGTACAATAATCTTATTCGAATCAAGAGGCATTAAAATTATTGTGAAGACTTTGAAAGTTTGGCTTCACAGTCAACAACCACCATTTGGAGGATTTCCAACAGCACTGTTCTACGTTATTTATTTTTCAGTAGAAAAAGGGAGAGAATAATTAAATTTGAAGCTCTGAATTGGACTCAGATCAAACTGGATTTGGTCATGTCTTTTCAGTTTGAATAATTCTGTTCCGTGGAAAATGAAGGATTTAAATGTGAAAGTGAGGTGTGCCACGCAAAATATGCAAAATAAATTTGTCCTTTTACGTGGTACTAACATGGTTTTAAATATCTGTCGCTACGTCGATATTTTCATCGACATATCCATATATTTCCATAGGTTCCACATCGACATGAGGGATAAATCGACATTTCCATTATAGTACAATAAAATCGACAAAATATGAAAAATATAATCAAAATGTCACTAATATATACATAATACTAATACTAATTTAAATATTTTTTACGATTTTTAAATTTTTCTAACTTTTACAGAAATATTCATCGACATCGATATTGACATTTTAATTGAGATCTCGATATTTCAATCGACATCAACATTTAAAACCTTGGATACTAATAATTTGATAAAGATATTTCAGTATTAATTTATTTGGTAACTGTTTCATTTTAAGTTTCATTTTTAAAAATTAAAGTTAAGTTTCTATTTTTAAAAATTAAAGTTAGAAACACTACTAGGTTATATATTATTTACTTTTACAAATATTTTCAAAATAAAAAGTAGTTTTTAAAAATTTACTTTTATTTTTAAAATAATTTGGAGCTGCTAGCTCAAACAGAGATCTTGAAGTCTTGCAAGCTACATATCTAGGACGAAACTCCAACCAAACTGCAATGACCTTTCTTGCATATGTACGTGTATAGGGACAATATGCATATAGATGCATAAAGGCCAAATGATCACCAACTCCCGAGTACGTAAAAAAGAAAAACCTCCTATTATCTAAGGTAGGAATAGAAAACGAATAGACTTTGGAATACAAAAGTACTTGAAGAGTTTGATTGTAGTGAAATTGTGCATGAATCATTGAATTGATAAGTTTGGTTGTAATTAAAAACCTACTATTACAAAGAGTAAAATTGTGTTTTTAATTAACATATTTTTTTTCATAATTAAAATACATTGGTCAACTAAAGTGACATTTCTACCATTATGAAATCATTCAGTAATCTTTTTAGGAGATGGATTGACTATATAATATTTAATTGACATTGCACTTTATAAGGGATGGAGTGACAAATATATATTTTTCTTAAATTATGAAACCCTTCAATAGAACAAAAAAATATCATATTCAATTGTTTTTACAATAAAGAATGGTAAGCAAGACAAACTTATGGGACAAAAAGATTAATCATTGTCAGTTATTTGATTTAATTAATACATTTTCTCTCCCTCACTCTGACACAATTAATTTTGTCATGTTGGGACGCTCATAATTATTAATGAGAAAATAAAACATGTACAATAATTGATTCAAATAATGGAAGATTTTTAATTGAATAAAAAATAATTGGTAGCCATTTTGATATTCCTAACGATCATTAACTTTAAACCTAATATCTTATGATTCAATCGCCAATGCATGTTGCAACCCAGTAGAAAATTTGTATGATGGAAAGAGGTTTCAAATCTTTGATAATTAATATAATAATCAAACATGTTTGGTACAAGCTCAAACAACATATTTTATTCTCGTGCTTCAATTTCACATACAAAATTAAAATGGAAGTATGGCACAGAGTTAATCTAAATATATGTACATAGCAAGTTGCTATATTTTTTCTTTTTAATTACGTCTCGATCTCGTAGTTTCCACCTCGAGGAATTATCGTTACTAATTTGCGAGGTTAAAAAATCCTCATCTCTCTTTTCCATCTTCGTTTTCAATTCATCTGCAAACATAAGAGTAAATGGAGTACTGCAAGAACAACCATCAAATTAACATTTTGAACTTTTAAAAGCGGTTTGATGGGAGGTTTTGTTAAATTAAAATCAACCTAGGGCTAAATTCATGTTTTTAATATACTTTACTGAAAATCACATATTCCCAAGTATCAATTATTACTACTCCATGAATAATCTTAGATTTACAATGTAAAGAGTTGACATGTTCCCATATATATATAAGATCTTTTAGGAATAATTCAAAAGCAAAATTTGTTCAAATTACGAGCTGAGAATTGATGTAGTATCATTACAGGGATAGGAAGGAGAGCATGTTCTTGTAATAGCTTTAATAATTCAAATACTTTTTCTTTTCTTTTTTATCTTTTTATGTTTTAGAACGGCTGAATTATAGTGGCAGGAAAGTACTTGTCCCCGATGATTATCTTATCTTCACCATCATGAATTTGACAACTAGGAGAGAAATAAAAAAACAAATATTTTTTCTTTTTTTATAAAATTATAAATTGTCAAAAACAGACAACTTTAGCACCGTCTTTTTGCAGTGTTCCATCTAATCTTGCCTCTCCAAGAACATATAGAAGCCTTCATTACTGAAGCCTTCTTCCATCCCTGTAGCAGTAAACGAAATACTCTTTGGTGTAATGCAGTGGGCTCCATCCTTTGGCTTGTTTGGTTGGAGCGCAACAGCCGGTGCTTCACGAATTCCTCAAAGCCGGCCTCTATTTTGTGGGATGATATATTATGGTTATTGCATCAACATGGTGTTCTAAATCTATCATCTTTTGTAATTACGATATCTCTTCCATTTCTCTCAATTGGAATACTCTCATATAGCCTCCCATTTTGTGTACGTTTCTCATATACTTCTAATGAAATGGTCTGATATCTTTAAAGAAAATATATAGTGATGAAGACAAGATTTGACCGTAAAAACTAAGTATTTTCCATATAACTTTTTATGTTCCGTTGATAATCTCTTCTTATTATTTTGAGAGAAAAAATCCATTTGGCTAATTAATAAGCTGGGTTTTTGTAACCCAAAGGTTAAAAATTTGATACATATCTTGAGTATGCTGGTTTTATTTATCTTAAAATTCCCAAATTTGCTAATCCCACAAACTACATATACATATAAACTCATAGTAGTTTTTTTTTTCCCCTTTTTTGAA